CCCCGCTGCTGCTATAGAGGACAAGTGGACAATCTTCGATTGTTCATAAGGTTATATCTTTCACTTATTGCGATGTTGTGTTACTCCTGGTACCCAACGATGACACTTACATTAATACTTGTTTTGGATAATCTTCGGATGTTCATTAGGTTACATATTTCGCTTAATGCGATTAGTCCTAGTACCCAGTGACAACACTTACAGTAGTACATTTTCCTGTTTACTTTATTTTGTGATACATTCACATAAACGATGATTTAGACTAAGTACTTTTAGTACTAGTCCATAGAAAAGGAAAAACTATCATTTTACAAACAAAACATTCGGGTCTTGGTAGAAGACTACATCTCAAACTGATAGAAAATAAGGGATTTTCTAGGGTTTTTCATACTTACATCAACATTTTCATTTAAAGGTTTACATAGACTTCATAATAGATTTTCAGTAAGCAAGACAATGACACTTAAATACTTATGAATTCACCAACTTTAAAGCTGATACTCTCTTTCAAAATAACTTGTATTCTCAGGTCATCAGTAGTCATGTACGGAGGCCAGGTTTTGAGAAAACGGAGCAGACAAGTCTCGTCTTTTATTTTGATTGTATATTTTTGGTGTCTTACTACAATGAAAGAACACACATGTATTAAAACTTTACTTATAATGCAATTGATGATGTTGTTGCTTGTGTATTATATTACACTGTTGTGATACTGTACATGACGTCCTCCACCCCTGAACATTTCCGCCATTCGTGGTTTTGGGGTGTGACAAACATCGTGGCCAATCCATTGACACATTGTGACACCCTAAATAGAGGCGCATTTCCATCAGGTGCCTCCACATCATGGTGTTGTCACCACCACATTGTGGCCACCAAAAGCCTTATATTTTTAATTCTTAAATGCTATAACCACGAAAGCAGTTATAACTTGAAATTTGAGTTACAAGTCTCCCCCACTTGAACTAGATTTTGTCCTTAAAATCCTTGACCAAAAAAAAATCTAGGTAGTGCTCACGCATCTCTACCTTGGGCTCCCAAATCCTCTCTGAGCCCTAATGGTGCTGCCACTACACCATGACTAAGGGCACTACCTTGTTGTGAAAGGTCTTTGACTTCCTATCAATAATGATCATTGGTCTCTGATAGTTTCATTTTCTTTACTTCTTTTTAGAGTTTATTTTAGTGTATTTCATTCATAACTTAGCAAATGTTCATGAATATTTTCCTTTTTGTTATTTTATGACTATTTCGGGTACTTTCTAATTTCGTGAGCTTTATTACTGATTTCAAGGAGACTAGCGGAGTGGAAATGTTCAGGACGTATGGAAAGCAATTAGATTTGGGGGAAAACAAGGATTATGATCTTGATGGCTAGTGGAGTTGATGCATTGAGTGGGCTACTGGCTATCGAGCTTTAGGAAGATGGACCTTGAATTTATAAGAAAATGGTGAATTTTCAAGCATGTGAAGATTATTGATCGGGTGAGTACATGAGCTATGTATGATTTGGGGAAGCCAAATTGGGCTTAAACTAAAAAAACCATGAAGAATATTGGGCTATAAGCTTAGTGGATTCGTTTTGGGCCAGTGGGTCAAGTCAATGGAAGCCCAAATCACAAAAGAACCTAATTCAGCATGTGGGCTACCTGCACAACAGCACGCGGGTCTCGTAAGGCCCAGCAAGGGGCATTTCCAGGAATTCTTGTTTTAAGCTATATGGGGAATCTTGGTGTGCCACTTTTCTACACTTCTACACATCTGATTTTGGAGCACTTTCCGTGGAGATTTTGAAGACTTTGAAGGCTAAGAACACTTGAAGAACATCATCTTTTCATCTCAAAATCTTGCTACATGTTCGGTATATTTTACTTTAGTTTTAGTTTCTTGATTTTAGCCATGCTAGGCTAAATAAATCTTGGTTGACTTTGGTGAAATCCTTTGAATGTTGAAGACTCCATGAACTTTTTCTTGAATCTTTATGATAATTTTTGTGTTTTAACATCTTATTACTACTTGTATGTTTTTATTCATGAGTTTAAATGTGCTTGTGGTGATTAATTGGCTGATTTCTTGATTAGGTAAATGATCCTCAAATTACCAAGCAACAAATGATTTTTGTGTTGGTTTTACTTCACATAATCATAAAAACATTTTCTCTAACATTGAAGTGAAAACATTTGACTCTTCTTGGACTTGGTGACTTTTTGGTTCTTAATGCTTGTTGACTTTCACTAATTACATGCTTACTGGAAATTGTGACTTTGACTAAGGAAATTTTTATGAGTTTCTTTAAACATTTTAACAACTAAGAAAAGTCTAGGTAATCTCAAGCTTCTAGGATTACTATAGCCAAATTAACGATTTAAAACAAGTATTGCACCATTGGATTCTAACGATCTGTTCATCAAATGTTCAAGTGAGGAAACCTTAAGTCAACCATCTTTTTCTTCTTGATTTTACTTCGAACCCTTGTTTTTTTGTTGAAATTGTCTATTTAAATCTTAGTTTAATTCTAGTTTATTTCAAGTATTTCAAAAGACCAAAACCCCCCATTTTTACTTTTATTGTCATTTTAAAAGTATTTTTACAAAGAGATTTTCATAGAGTTATAAAATTGAACCAATCTCTGCAGATTCGACCCCTTTACTACCATACACTATTTTAGTGTAAAAGATTTAGAGTTATTAAGTTTATTGGCTCGACAACCACCAAATTTTGGCGTTGTTGTCAGGGATTGTTTTATTTTTATTTAGTTTGTTTCTCTATGCCCATATCTCATCATATAGGTACTCTAATCTACAATCCCGCATTAAAAAAAACATGGCTTTGTAATGAACACTCATTGCACTGAATATCAACGTTCTGAGTTAGCTCAGTTAGTTATGATGATTAAAAGTGACCAAAGTGTACAGCTCATGCCTGTTCTTTGTGATTTTTCGCTCAAAATGGAAATCATTCCGACATGTGTCCATGTTTACAAGGAGAATGGGAAGAAATGCAAGATAAGGGAAGCAACTACCGGTCAAACCAATGTAGTTATGATCAGCCTCAACATGATAAATGGTGGGACAACAACCAAATTTGGGGAAATAATCAATACCAAAACCCATACCAAACTTGGCGAAATAACCAATACCAACCAACTCCACAGTTCCAAGTGTTGGATTAGATGTTTAACCCATAACTATATTGGTATGTACTTGACCCGAGAGTAGCATGATCCATTTGGGTTGCATATCACCAGGACAAATTGATAGGATTGACTTTTGAGAAGAGGTTATTTATGATTTGTTAATATATTATAAGTTCTAATATATTAATATGAAATCATATGATTTAATTAGTATTGATCAAGAATTAATTTAGTGATCAAAAGAGACTAATTAAATATATGGGGATTGATTTGGTAAACCATTCATTCTTATGGTGTTGGCCAATGATCCATGATTCTTTAGGTTGGGCTAAACTAATGTGACAACCCATGGATGATCCATGGAGGTTTAAACCCATGGAGCCTAAGGAATATGGAAGGTCATGCATATTAGGGTTTACATGGTGTAACCCTAATCTTGCCACACTATATAAGAAGCCCCTTAGCATCCAAAATTGACTACTAGATACACTAGTGTTCTTAGAGATCATTGAGTCGATTTTAGTGCAATAAATACTCTATAAAAAGTCTCCATTGTTCTAGGTGTGTTGTGATTCCATTTGAGGTGCAACACTTGGGGCACTAAGTTCTTAAAGGCCATACTCAAGAAGTTCTACAAGCTACAACAAAGAGGTAATTTTGTAACTCTCTTTTATGTTGATTATGTCATTTCCATGCTAGTTGTAGGCTTAATGCTTTGGAAACAATATTCCATGTATAATTAGAGAAAACATAGATCCAAAGCATTTAGGGTTGTATGTGCACCATAGGATGTTGTATTATACTAAAACCCATCAGCGGTATCAGAGCCTATTATTGTTTTCTATTATATTTGATGCAAATATAATTTCAAAGTTTAAAAATCGATTTTCTGCATTCTGGACAGTGAACTCGCCAAGTCTACTGGGGGACTTGCCGAGTACAATCAGAAAAATCCCAACTCGACGATTCCAATTCATGTACTTGCCGAGTTGGTGCTCCAATGGGCAGTTTTTTGAGTTTTTTTTGGCCTGTTTTGGATTAGAATCATTACCATAAAATGTTTTAGTTCATAAAATCTGATTTTGTTGATACGGTAATGATGATTCCCATCCAAATAAAAGATAATTGTAAAAGTTTCATGATTTGTATTAGTTTTTATGATTAGGCTAATTTCTTGAAACTTGTTTGATATGAATTATGTGTGTGGGTAGATCACCGATGGATATTGTGATTGCGGTTGAATACTGTGAGGGATCCAGGTTCCGGTGCCTAAACTGTGTGGAAACGATTGTTGCTGAGAAACAGGTATCTCTGTTTGTTGTGTTGTGACAATCCGTGGAGTTGTGGTTATGATTGCTGCTTGCTAAGATGGGTTAACTGTTGGACGTCATTGACTGGCTATGTAGGTTGCTGTCATTTCAGCTGCAAAGTTGGATGGTGTCTGTGAGACTGGCGTGCGATTTGAAGCGTGTTTTTCCTGGATGAAAACTTGCCCTCCGTATAATTTGCCCACCTTTGCTCTTTGGTTTTGCTTCGTGGATGTATCGTTCTGGAGATACATCCGGTTGCGCCAAATGTTGTGATATGTCAAAGATGGTAGGATTGAGATCAAGGGTGTGTGTCGAGCTGGTTCCTTCTCCTGATATCACAGTACAAAGGAAAGAGATGATTGTTAGACAATGTCCGGGAATGGTTCCCAGGACGAAGCTCCGACGATCAAGTTAGAATTGATTCCGAGAGAAGATAGAGAATGTCTAAGAGAAAAAGAGTCCAGTCCCCTTCTCCGTAGGGCAGAAGGGTTCTTTTATACTTGATCGAGAGGCACATGCCTCCTAATTGATTCTATTGAGTCTTCCCTCGTGAGATGAGACGTGGTGGATGCCGTGGATCCGTATTGAAGGATCCTCCATCACGTCTGTCTATCTTGTTCCCCCATTGGCTAGAGGGGAATCTTCGATATAATGATGATCTTGGTTGTCGTCAGATAGGCAACTGGAGCTCTCTGATTGGTTCCACGTTTGTCGGGGTATTTCTCTTAGAGAGAAGAGGGTAAGGCGCAGTTTTGCCCCTTAACCGTCATACCAGTGAGTCCATGCAGGCGGAGGCCCGACCTTGTCCTCAGACTGAGTATGACCAGACTTTAACTAGGCCAAGCTTAGTGCTAATTTGACTTTTCTTCTTTAACGTTTTTTTTCTGATGGATACGTTAACACTGATGCTGGCACTAGCGCTAATAGACAACGTGTAATGTGTGCTCATCAAATCATAAAGTGTGACCTTATATTTGAGGCACTACCATTATAGGTTATTCTAAACGTGCAATTTCAAACATCTCTCCCCTAATTCAGTATGGCATTATTCAATTTTGACGAAGCCACTTTCTAGTTTTTACGTTCAAGATTAGCTGGTTTAGATCCTTTGGGACTTTTGGTACTACTTATTTTTATATTCTCGATGAAGGTGGGAAGGCTTATGTAATTGAAAAATGGTTTGATATCACATTGTAGTATGTTAATAATGTTGCTACACCTAATTATCCATGGAATTTAGTTGTTGATTATATGCAATCATTTTTTAAAACAGTTGCATTTACTTTTGTGCAAATTTTACGTGGTTGTTCCTTTTTAGACAGTTATTCTCCATAGTTGCTGCATGCTTATTATATAATTATATAAAAGAAGGGTTCCCAATTGAATAGTACCTCCTGTTCATTGGACCCCTTCTGTTGGTAGGACCCAAGGTTTTTACTTTTTTTTTCTTTTTTCTATTTGCTTTTAATTATATTTTGCCACCTGCTTCTCACTGAAGTTGTTTCCCTTTCTCCTTCCTATTTTCCCCCACGTATCTTCCACCGCCTCTGCCCCGTGAAGCCAATAGAAATCAGATTAGTGCCCACCCCCACCTCCTCACTGCTTCTTATATCCATTTCAGCTCCATCCTGCCACTTTTCTAAACCGATTGAACGATCTCGCAACCACCATCAGATATCGAGACTGGAAGGCAGCGAAAGGCAATCGAGAAGAAAAGGAGTGAAAGCATCGGGAGGCGGAGCTGTTGCTCCGATTGTAGCAGGTCAGTAGAGGAGGGGGGGTTCTGCTTCAGTAACCTTCCCCATTCTTCTTCTTTTCTCTCTCTCTCTCTCTCTCTCTCTCTCTTGTTATTTTTGATAGAAATCGATGGGGTTTTTGGGTTGCTTTTGATAGGGAATGAAAGAAACACAAACGTTGACCTCTGCCTCTCATTTCATTTATTGGGTGTATTTGTCGATTTCTTTCTTCTTAATCCTTCAGGTTGGTTTTTTTTTTTTTGGGTTTTAGCATGCTTTCCATGTGTTCGATGAAAGTTCTATTTGAACTTTAACTCATACAACTGCTTATCTTGATTCATTGTAACAATTCCTTTTTTTTTTATTACATTTGGTTGTTTTACTTGCCAACGCTACCCTATAAGCATTTCATCCTACATATTGCTTCAACATGTCCACCAGTTTCTCCTTTTGGTGCCATTATTCTTCAGGTAAGTCCTTCATTTAGAATATTTGCAATTTATAGTAATTCCCGTGTTCGTGCTTTCAAATCTGTAAGTATATCGATTATGTTGGTTCATGATGTGGATGCCAAAAAATATGGCGGTGTTCCGGAAAGTAAGGTCGATGATGGCATGATACCAATGCAACTGCTTTATCACATATACAAGTATGCTCACATATATTTTCATTATAATGTTTATATATTTTACGAAAGTAAATTGATTTTCTTTGTTTATTTTTTATGGGTTATAAGTATAATTATATGTTTACGTGCAGTTCATTACATTTGAGAGAAGAACAGAAGGTCTTGAAGCAACTCACAAACATTTTATGTATGCAAGGAAATCTCCAAATTGTACTTACAATGTTTATGTTCATATTGTATGCACAATGACACGAAGATAATTTTTTTGTTGTTGTTTCCAATATTAAAAAAGAAGCAAATGAAGTATACATTGCATGTAAACTAAGATTAATATATTTTATTAATTTATTTATTAATTTTGTATAACTCTAACTTATATCAAGTTGACCTTTTAATGTTAGATATAGTGAGAACTAATGCTGTCAGGCCACATCCATTTTGGCAATTGTGAATCATGTGAGGATTAAGAATGATTGTTGTTTTTCAACAATTGGTTCAAAGGCAGGTCAATGGAGTACTATAATCAGATGGAGGTTAAATTGTTTGAAGTTTGAACGTATTTCATTCTTTTGTGGAAAATTATAGACGATTAGAAGGGCTTTTCAGTCATTTGTTGTATAAACATTTTTTAAGTATTAACTTCTGTGTTAAGTCTATTAAGAATAAATGGATAATCACAAAAATGGTTTAAACAATACCATTTTGATAATTTTTTATTATCCTTAAAAAGAAATTATACTTAATCGATTTAGTAAGTTAATTTTTTTCTATATTGATTAAGCTATTATACTTTTTTTCCTGTTTTAAGAAAACAAAATTATTTTTTTACCTGATTTTGAATTTAAAAAAAAATTAGAAAACTACCACATGATATCACAATTTTAAGGTTTTAGCCATTGAATTATTGTTTTTATATGATTAAATGGTTAACAAGTAATACTTTAGTTGTTAAAATGATAATATGATGTTGACTGTAAAAGTCAAATTTGTCCCCCCCCCCCCCGGAACATATTACCTAGCATAACATATTACTAGCATTTACCTTGACATTTGATCTCTTTATTTTTTATACGTATTTGGTATTTTATTTTATTTTTGTGATTTGCAGGCCAATATACTTATTAATGTACTGTGCGGGATCTTGAAGGGAATTGGAGAAGATTTGTCTACATTTAAACGTGTTGTTGCGAATCCAATAGTTAACATAGTCAAAAATGCTCTTGTAGTATCTAAATACCATTCGTAATAATAATAAGGCTCCAAACATTGTGGATGCTTGAAATCTGAAAATATATCTCGCTGTGGATTCATTTTCTAAAACAATTTTATTTCCTCTTATGACCCCCACAATGCGGGGAAAACTTCCCTAGTTATATTTATTATTATTATTAGTTTCAATAATATCAATTAAAATTTGAGTTATTAGATTAGGACTTATATTTTTTATGGGATCGATTCCTAACCATTATCAATTTTAGATATAGGATATGATTTTTTTTTTTTTGTATGGTTATTTATTACTACTAGAAACTTAGGCAATTTTCCGAAGGCATTTTCCATCTCTAATACGTTGGAAAAAAGTTTAGCGATATTTTTTGACAAAAAATATCATCAAAATAATGCATGAGTAATTATTTCCAATGTATTACCGACATAATTTTTGACAACTTTGGGTCAAAATATTCTCTCGGTGATTACATAAGAATTTTCGACACCAACACCAACGCATTTTCGATGGAAATGAGGTCTGCATAAATTAGACCTATTATCGACATACTTTAGGTTTGACTATTTCCATAACACTTTAACTAGAATGTAAAATCTATATTTTGGGGCAAGAACGTTTTGTCGTTTTAGTTTAAAAAAAATATTTTTTAGAAAATAAAATTCAAAATAATAGAATTTAAAATAAATAAATATTATAATATGAAGTAAATTATAAAATAAATTAAAATTTTGTAAAAGTAAACGTTTTTACGTTGGTTAGAAAGTTAATTATAGAGTAAACTACACGAATGGTTCCTATGGTTTAAGGTAATCTGGACGTTTGGTCTCTAACTTATTTTTTTTAATTCGGAATGTCTTTACTGTTTGGTTTTGTTACGCAATTGGTCCCTACTGTTTGTTTTTGTTACGTGTTTGCTCTCTGTCTTACCTAAAAGATTATTATTTAAATAGAAAAAAAATGATGGAGTGGGTAAGATAAGATGAGGAGGTGGGGTTGAGGGTGTGTTTATTTAAATAAATTAAAAAATCGAGGGAAAAATAGTCTTCTTATGTAAGACAGGAACTAAACGCGTAACAAAAACAAACATTAGAGACCTTCCGAATTAAAAAAAATAAATTATGGATCAAATGCGCAAATTACCCTAAACCATAGGGACCATTCGTGTAATTTGCTCTTAATTATAAGTTAAAATTGAAAATTAAGATATAAGGGTAAAACTTTATATTTGGTGAAATTTGCTTTGGGCTTTGGTTTGACTTTGAATTTGAATTAAAATTGTTAGGAAATAGAACTCTCTAACATCTATATCTAAGGTTTGACCTTGAGATCATCATCAAATTTCATGGTTTAATTAGTGAATCATCATAGTTGCTAGTTGCAATTCATTCTTTAGAATGTTACTTCATCTACAACTTTCTCTATAGTTGTTTAATTGAAGCTTGGATAAAGAGTTTAGGGATTTCTTTAACACTATGTTTTTATTTGTGTAATGATTTGATGATTTCAAGTAATATCTAGCTTATATTTTTAATTAGAAACATTTAACGTTGGATGACAACTAAACAAGTTAAACACTTTTGACAAATATCAAATAAGCTTTGGTGAAACTTGCAGAATTAAACTTCTGAAAAAAACGTAAATAAAAAGGAACACAATACTTAATGTGGTTCGGTTAAGTTGACATTCGTCTATGGACGGACGAGATAGATAGATGTTTATTCAAAATTCATTGACTAAAAATTGACAAATGAAATAATTCATCGGTCACTTTTAACATTTTCCGTTATTAATCCATCTATAATATAGATGTTTTGAGCTCGTAGTATTACATAGAAGCTTTGACATTAAGCTTGTTGGGTGGGTTTAGACTTTTCATTCAAAGTTAATAATGTTCATCAAACTACCCAAATGATTTTGTAACGACGGTGTTCAAACCCCCAGGTCCTAAACATTAAACAAGCATTCCTCCTTCCGTCCCCGGATATAATAAAATATTAAACCTTATATAATATGCCAAATAAAATAAATTATATCAACTAGACGTAGTGTAGTCGTGTAGAATTCTTTTGTTTGTTTTTTAATTATAAAATTCAGTAAATAATCCTTAACAAACTCATGACTACAAAAGGACAAATATTCAAATAACAATTGTCGTCACGGGGGTGTATTAATTAATTTATATTGAAATTTAATTCTACGTTCCGAAATCCAGCCACTCCAACTGCCTCTAACTATAATCCAGCCACTGTAACTGCTTTTAACTAATATGCCCCATGTTAGTCCTACGCATGCGCGCTTATGCTAGAGTATGTGCTACGTGCATGTCGAAATTATCACACGTACACCGTCGTTAGCCTAATCTTTCTCTAAAAAAATACAACAAATATAATTAATGTATAACCAAAACCTATAACTTAATTATTCTAAGACACAAGATATAGTAGCTGAAATATGATGAACATTTATGCCTGAAGTGTTATTATCCACACCTAGTTTAAAGGTCAAAACCACCATTTTTTAATGTCAAAACCACGTACCGGTTGGTAAAAACCCTAACTAAAATGACTTTATATATTATTTTATATAAATCAAAACACCATTACGCACTATTAATCTATAAATGATTTATATATTATTTGAATGAAATGTCTTTTATTTTACGTTCTCTTTTACCTTTCCTATGAGGTAAATGTCATTAGTTCATCAAACTAGTCACATTTGTTTTCAAATGTTTTAAAAGGTCATCTAACCTTTTTTTTTTTTTTTTTACACAAAAGAAATGAAGTAGATTATCAATGGTTTAAATCATTTTTGAAAAAATCACCGGGTAACCCAGTAATATGTAGGCCACGTCTGTCAACCTCCAACCATATTCCCTTGTTGCTTGCATTCGATATTCAGGGAACATAAAAGGCAACCTCCACTACCAACCCAGATCTTGAACAACACCTCCAATACCATTCACTCTCTTGATAACGATCGCCATCTCCCTTCTCTAACATGTACCTTCCTACCTCCATCTTCGTTGTATCCACTTGAGTCTATTTGGGTATCTACCTGACCTATCCCCATTGGAGAGAAATAAGGAAGACAAGTTTGTCTCTCTTAGCAATTGTGATTGTGATTCAAGAATAAAAATCCGATCGTTTTTTTAAATATCAATTTCGTCCTAGAAATCCAAAAAAGAGATCGTGACGATCATTGTTTTTTTATTTCATCATCTCCATATAACTTACCATCATTAAATTCATTGTCGTCCTCCACCTTTGTTTCCACCCTTGAATCGCCCTACACTCCCCCATTGGAAATATACAATTTTTCCGACGACACTAAGCTCAAAATCGTCACCATCACTTGTCTCATTTTTGTTTCCCATTCCTCAGATTTCGCTCACGAAAGGGTCTGTTTTGCCGACGAATGCAAAACTGAGGAGTTGCGATGTTTACATTAGATACCATGGTCTAGGTCAAAATCCAAACTTAGTAAGGTTCTGTAAATGGTTGATAGTCTCCCGAATTATCTCATTCTCGAAGAGATTTGATTTTTCTCTCAAAATAAAGAATTTAATCTCGTTATTCTTCGAATTTGACACAAACGAAGTGACAAACATTATCACAAGCTCCGACAATAAAGAATGCAAAAACGCCATTGATGGGTTGATGAAGTCGCACAAGTTGAAGCTCGAAGCTAACGAAGGTAACTGAAGATACTATGTATCAAGAACCATTGGGATCTTGTAGGGAAAACTTGGCAAAAAAACGCAGAAACCCTTGATTGAGATTTAGAAGAGAGGAGAGAAAGAGGGAGAGACAATAGTTTGGAGATATGTGTATGAATTGAATTTTAATTTTATTTCCTTTTTATATTAAAATAAAAGTCATATCATCAATAGAAATGGGCTATCACAAATTAAGGTCCTTTTTTAACAGGTAAATATAAAGTTTAAGCCTCTAAACAACTAAAAAAACATAAGAGATCTTTTAAATCAAAACCAAAAAGTTTGTTCGATTTAATATGACACTTTTCCATATATATATATATATATATATATATATATATATATATATATATATATATATATATATATATATATATATATATATATTGATGGGTTTTATTCATAAGAACATCCTATGTGCTCATACAAACCTTAATGCTTGGATCTAGGTTTCTCTATTGTACATGCAATTTATCCAAGACTATAAACCCTAGATCTAGCATATGATAATCAATA